ACATATATATTTTATCTTATATCTTATCTTATTTTCTTCTTGCTCTATTGAGAGAGTATTTTGTTAGAAGTAAATTTACATATATTATCTTATTGAGAAGATAATCATATTTTTGTTATAAGTAAAATACATATAAATTATCTTATTGAGAAAATAATCATATTTTTGTTAGAAGTAAATCTCACATATTATTTTATTAAAAAGATAATTAGTCATATAATTTCTTGAAGTTATAAAAGTAAATAACTGCTGTGAATACAGTTACTATTACCATTTTAAAATAATTACATACACATAATCTTAAAATGATAATAATATATCATTAGTAAAGAGAATTTAAAACTTGATTCTATCAAAATAACTATTATAAAATAGTTTTTTAGATCAACTAATTTAACTATCTTAAGAAATTTTCTTGATCTAACTTCATATTATAGACACTTTATAAAGAACTTTGCAAAATAATAAATAAAAAATAATAATAATAATTAATTATTTTTGCTTATATAAATAATTTATATATAATTTAATTAAAAAAATAATCAATTTATTTAATATCTTTAGCTTATAATTTTAATATTATTTTATTATTTTTTATTTTTATTATTTTTATATTTTTATAATTTTTTTAGTTTTTATAATAAAAGTTTAGGATATAAAATATATAAAAATAAAAGAATATAAATACAAATAAAATTAAAATAAAGTTAGAATTCTTTATTTTAAAGAGAATTATTCTAATTATATATAATTTTTATTAATTAATAATTAGAAAAATTAATTAATTTTATATATAATTAGAATAATTCTCTTAGAAAAAATTCAAAAAAAATCTGAGAATTTTAGTTTATTTTGAGCTAAAAATAAAAAATATTTAATAATAAAATTAAAAATTTTTATATTTAATAAAAATTCAAGTATTATATTATTTTGATTATTACTATATATATATATATATATATTGAATAATTCTTTAATAATAATTAAATGTAATATATAAGAAACTTGTGTTATAATAACTTTTTAATTAATTATATTTATAATTATTAATTATATTTTCATTAATTTATCTTTTTATTTTTTTATTTGAATTTTAATATATTTTATAAAAAAAGATTGAAAAATTTATTTTGTTAAATAAATATATAATTCAAGATAAAAAAAGAATTTTAAAGTCAAATTCGTATTTTTAAAAATATTATATAATTAATTTAATTAAAATTATATTACAATTATTAATATAATTTTGAAAAATTTATAATAATTATAAAGATATATTTCTACATTAAGAATTATTTCAAGATAATATTATATAATGTCTTGAAAACGCTTTCCTTCTATTACGATCCGGTTTCCAACTTCACCATTCAGTATTTTATTCCTATGCGATAAACGATAATGATGATGGTGATGATTTTTAATTAATCATAGATTTAACAATATATTATAATTTATCTCAATTAATAATTTAGATAATCAACAATAAAGATAAATTTAATAATGGTCGGTTGATTTAAATGTGCAAGCAACTAAACAAACCTTTCTTCCAGAATTCCTTTGATTTCTCTTACTAAATTTTCGGCCATTTCAATTTTTTCGTTCTCCCTTTCTAATCTTAATTGCTCACGAGTTAACAGACTTTTTTCTTGTTCCTCTAAAGAATCTATTATTGTAGCAAAAAAATAAGCTTGATTGCTGACTTGATCAAAATTGCTAAAAAAAGGGTTATACCTTTTAACATGGTAACAGCACGTTCTATTTCATTGATGGTATTTGCATAGGACGGGCTACGTTCGTTAGTTAATTCAAATGCTCGAATTGAAGTTAGCCAAGATTTCACTATGGAAAGAATCGGGTGAATATCAATCTAGAAATATCTAATTCATGCTTTAGCAATATTTTAGTGAATTATATATTTACCATGGTTATGCAAAATATGGTGAATAGGTCGCATTATCTTGCTAAAATGAAGATTTGCTGATTCGAGTAACACGCCTATAATGTCAATTAGATTAAAGTTATTCAAAATTCAAATGAGATGCATGAAATATAATCTACCTTGATTCATAGTTTGGGAAATGCCAGGGAATATATATTCTGCAGACTTTCAAACATCAACAGCATTCTCATTAATCATTACCGATAACAACAACAATAATCTTATTGTTAAAGAAAAATACCAGCGAAGAAGGAAAATCTAAAATTTTTTTTATGTCCAGGATAAAGGGATCTTTAAGAGCTCGATATATGCCGAGCGAGTCAATTTGGCGTGGTATACTGTTTGAAAATAAAGAATTCTGGTTATTTGTTGGAGATGAATCGAATATTAAATTTGAGGAGTTTAAATCATACCCATTTATTTGAATTTGAAGAATCTTATTTAGATCCAGTTCACTGAATACTTCATTTTCTTCAGCCATGCTCCCTTCAAATTCCTTATTCAGTGCATCAATTTGTAATGCATATGGAGAAATATAATCTAAAATAAAATTCGAAATCTATAAAAAATAAAAATTTGTTGTACCAGATAAAATGCACATGAATAAAAATATTTATAAAATAAAATTTTTAATATTGAAACCTCTCGATACTGCGACGAAATCTTTTCCATAATTTTTTCATTAATGCGGATCACACTCTGAATATTTTTTTGTTTTTCCTCCTTTAAAAAAATAATGAGCATAATTATATTTTTAAACGAAAAGCATAATTCGAAAACAAAAATTCAATGATGTCCGCCCAAAAGCTTACTAGAAATTCATTATAGCTCGTAATTCTATCAACCGAATTCATCAGTTCATCACTACTCGTCATATGGTTTTGACATTGTCCCGCCAGCGCTTCGGCATGTTCATTAAGTTTCTGTAAAGCCATTTGACTAGCTTTTGCTTCCACTTTTGACTTTAATACTGATCTAATGTTAAAAGTATTTTTCTTCAATAATACTTTATATATATAAAAAAGTTATTTGATAATGAAAGAGATACCCACATTATATCTTTTTGAAGTTTATGTCCATATCGTTTTTTGATAACGGATTCAACTTCCTCTGTTAATTCTGTGATTTTCTGTTTGAGCGCTTCGATTCCATTTAAAATATTTTCCGTTTCAACGAATCTACTGACATGATTATCTCGCGATTGCTTTATTAAATTTTAGAAAGAAAATTAAACTATGATATTTCAATGATTAATTAATTCAACAAATGTCACCTGTAATAACTCCAAGACATTTTGAAAACTTTTATTGGCTTCTACGTAAGAGTTTTGTAAGTCATCGGCTGAGACCGTCCTATTATAGATTGAAGAGGTTAACGTGGATGGTTTTTAAAGAAAATAAATCATATTGATTAATTACTTGATCTCTGCCATAGATAACTTGAGAATTTGGGAAATTGATTTCAATAATATTTTGGGTGGGGTGGATTTCATTAACTCCTGGTTATAATTTTCAATGTTAATTATTTATACACTTAAAAGAAGCTCAGTAATAATTAAATTAAATCCAAACCTCAATTGACACAAGTATACTCGCTTTATATTCAAGTCCGACATTTTCATTACTGAATATCATAATAAATGAATGTATTCAAAAATAATACATGCTAAAATTTTTTAAAAAAGAATTTCCATTAAACCTGAATAAAACACGCTGTCCAAGTATTTTTAATTTTTCGCATACATCTTTGACCTTAATCTAAAGGACACAAATTTGTTTACTAATTTTTAATTAACAAATGCACAGTTACAAGTTTCACTTACTGTCACAGTTGTCTCGCTTCCCTTTAATGTTGTTCTTTGAATAATTAAAATAAATAAGTTATTTTTAAACATCGTACAAAACAAACAAAACATAAATATCACATACTCGTTTTTGTTAGAGCGCGAACTTGTTACATAAGTCGCCATTCGCTTCTGATAGTCCTTGTCAGTCTGTGTGATTTTCTCGGTTTGTTCGATAAACAGCTGTTTGAGATACAGTTTATTTTTTTTCTCGCGAATTTGACATTTCGTGCTCTTTATTTGAAACTCTAATATAAAGCGATATTGAAACAATATGATACACCTTACTAATTTACTGATTAACAGAATATTGAATATAAGTATTACCAACGTCCGTAATTCGAGAAATCAAATTTTCAATTTCCTCTTCCTCCTGTTGAACATTCTCCGTCATTTTGGTTAACTTTTTTTCAAGTTTGGTTCTCATAACTACATTATTATTCTTATTATCGTCTGTTGACGAAACAGATGTCGATTTTGAAGCTGTTAATGTCGTTCGACTCCTTTTAGAAATGTGTTTTGAATTGTGTAGCTGTCGTTTACTTTTTAAATAGAACCAATCTTAAACTTTCATTAATCCTTTAGAGATAAACAATCGATACACCTGCTCATGTGAGGCTTACCTCAATTGTGCTCGACGTAAATTAGCAACTTCGCTAGCATTACGAAATTAGGCATTCTTATTAATTTTATTACAAAATCATTAATATTAAAAAACTTTATCCCAAATCTTACCTGCTTGATTTCACATTTTCAATAAGGAATCTAAATATCGGTATAAACTCCTTTTTGCAAATTCTAATTCACCACAATATTTGGATTAAAAGAAGTTTAATAAAAGAAAATTTTTCCAATTTAAGTAGAAATTAAAATAATACTTGTTAATATCTGTTTTAATATCGTCTTCTTCTAACGCGCCTTCCGATACTAAAGAGAACCGTTCAGGATTATAACCAAGGTCCTTACGGAGCCAATTAACTACAGAATCTGATAAAACGCCAAGTTCATTTTGCTGCTGTTTCTCTTTCGAGTAAACAGAACGATAACTTATGTTATTGGAACGAAAGCTATCAGAACTTTGCATTATCAAGAATTCAAAATTGAATATTCACGCGTTATTAGAAATATTACGCGCCTTTCACACGGATTATTTGTATCACGTAATGTCGTGAAACATGATCTGTGGCATAAATTGTGAAAATATGATGGATCAAGTAAAACGCGCGTTTTCTCCTTTGATATTTCTACAATGCCTCGAGAATTAATAACAATACAAACTGGCCAATGTGGCAACCAAAGTAAGTTTGTATAAGGTGTTTACTACTCTGTCAACTATTTGATTCAACATGCGTTTTGTAATAGTTGGAATGGAATTCTGGGGACAGCTTTGTGCTGAGCACGGTATAAGTCAAGACGGAATACTTGAAGACTTTGCGACTGAGGGCGGAGACCGTAAGGATGTGTTCTTTTACCAGGTTCAAATGACATTTCATTTTATAAGTTTATAAGAGATCCTTCTTTATAATATTAATTCTTATTTATAATTATGCTCTATTTCACGGGATTTTTGGTAATTAATCTTTCATAGGCTGATGATGAACATTATATACCGAGAGCTCTACTGCTAGATTTAGAACCTCGAGTATGTACCAAAAAATTTATGATTTATTCTGATGCTAAGTTTTTTAATCTAATTTTTTCTAATAATTAGGTAATAAACAATATCCTAGCTTCAAAATATGCCAATTTATATAATCCCGAAAATATATTTTTATCAAAAGATGGTGGTGGGGCAGGAAATATTTGGGCATATGGATTTTCTCAAGCTGAGAAAGTTTGCGAGGATATATTTGAAATGATTGATCGTGAAGCAGATGGAAGTGATTCACTCGAGGTAAATAAAAATTTATGATCTTTAAAAGCAAATTTAAAAGTTATTTTTTAAATATCATTTCAATTATTAATCAAAAGGGATTCATGCTACTTCATTCGATTGCTGGTGGAACAGGATCTGGGATGGGCTCGTTTTTGCTTGAAAGGTTGAATGAAAGATATCCCAAAAAACTGATACAAACGTACTCGGTGTTTCCAAATAACGAAGAAGTTTCTGACGTAGTTGTGCAGCCTTATAATAGTATTTTAACACTAAAGAGATTGACCGAAAATGCTGATTGTGTGGTATATATTTTTATTCTAGCACTTTCACTTCTATTTTCAATTCCACTTATTATATAGTTTTTCTATTCAAAATACGATAGATTGTTCTGGATAATGCAGCTTTGACGCGAATCGCGAGTGATAGGCTTCATATCCAAAATCCGACTTTTGCTCAGACTAATCAGCTGGTAATCTAATTAATTTCTTCATTAGTTTTAGTTTGCTCGATCTACCCGCCATTTTTATTTGATATGCGTACTTATTCACAAGGTATCGACTGTGATGTCGGCCAGCACCACAATGCTCCGCTATCCTGGCTATATGAATAATGATCTTGTGGGGATGATAGCATCGTTAATTCCTACTCCAAAATGCCATTATTTGATGACCGCATATACTCCATTCACAAGTGATCAAGTGGAAAAAGTTTGTTTTTCTTATGTGATATGATGTTCGCTAAATAAATGGTATTACATAACTTCCATTATTATTAATGTTTAGGCAAAATCTGTTCGTAAAACTACGGTACTTGACGTAATGAGACGGCTATTACAACCAAAAAACAAAATGGTCTCTACAAATCCGTCAAAAAAGAGTTGTTACATTTCTGTTTTGAATATTATTCAGGGAGAAGCTGATCCAACTGATGTGAGAAAGATGATTATATAAACAATAATTTTTATTTCACGCACATAATTTTTTTTGGTGATTTTTAATTTATTATCATTGCTAATTAATTTATTAGGTTCATAAATCTCTATTACGTATTCGTGAACGACGATTGGCGCAGTTCATCCCTTGGGGTCCTGCTAGCATTCAGGTAGCTTTAACAAAGAAATCACCATATGTTCAAACTTCACATCGGGTGAGCGGATTAATGTTGGCTAATCACACGAGCATTACTTCGGTAGACTTTCGATTTTGAGTTATTTTCATGCAAAGTTATTCTTATTGGATTTCGTTGTATTTATTAATAATTCCGTCATTATTTTTGAATTAATTTCAGCTGTTAAAGCGTACTTGTGATCACTATGATCGTTTCAGAAAACGTGGCGCATTCTTGGAACAATATAAAAAAGAAGATATGTTTGCAGATAGTCTTGAAGAATTTGATATTGCAAGGTAAACAAAAAACATTATTAAGAAATTAGTATTTTTTTTACTAAACCTTTTTTTACATAGGGAATCTGTTCAAAATCTTATGAAAGAATATGAAGCTTGTGAAAGTCCTGACTATATTAATTATGTAAGCCTATTTTTTATTATTAGCATTTTTTATTTCGAATCACGTTGTTTTAATTTTTTGCTTTATTAGGGAATTAATAAAAGTTGAGTATTTGGCATAAACATGATAATTAATATTTATAAAAACGACTAGATATGTAAATATAATCACATGATTTATGATCAATATTAAAAAAATGATCAAGTCACCTGAGAATCATATTTTTATTTAATTTATGAAAATGTTTCAAAATTTAATAAAATTCACTCTTGTATAGTAATTCAATTTTGTTTTTTTTGAGAATGATTATAATCTTTGTTCATCATAAAAAAAATATTAGATTTCACTAAAGAAATATCACATCAGAATTATTATAAATCGTTACCTGCCATGGATGGATGATGCTAGTCTATTAAAATTCATAATTTTTATTACTGAGAGGGATGTTTTAATATTCGAACAGCATCTTTGGAAAAAACATAGCTTAGTCCAGATAATACTGTAGTTCCGGCAACAGTGCACCTTCATATAAAATTTGTTTATGTGAGATTTAATAATAATTAAGTATTTGCAGACAATGTAAATTCATGATACAAAATATATACTGTAAAACTACTAGTGCTGAAGCGTGCTTCCATTCAAAGACGGGGCCTGCAACAGTTGCACCGACAAGAGCCAATTGTAGTACAGTATTGATCTGTAATTAAATAATAATTATTATGATTTGAAATTTTAATAAAATAAAGATATATCAGAAAGGAGTATATAATGCGAACCTTGCTGATAAAAGTGGGTCGAACTTCAGCCGACGGAATAGAAAAATCAAAATATCTTGATAATGTTTTCTGCAAGAAAAATTAATGAAGTAAGTATAAAAGTTGATAAAAAGATTAAATTTAAAGAATGAAAAATCCTTACTGGTGGTGGCAAAGAAATATAACGATAATAAAATGAAGCTAAAACTAAGCCAGCATCACGTCCAAGAATCACAGTTGCCAATGGAACTACGTAATAATAAAATGGTCATGCTTGTTGTATATGCTTGAATAAGATTATGATCATTCTAGAATCGATAATCAAAGTATATCTGAACATTAGGAGTTTAAATTTTTACATGGAAGCAAATCTTTCATAGCCAAAGTTATTGTCATCACAGTCATGAGCATCTTATCAGCTGCCGGGTCCATGACCGTTCCTAACATTGTTTTCATATTGTATCTTCTTGCGATGATACCATCTAGCTGGTAAAAACTATTAATAAATATAAAACACTGATGACATAAAAAATCAAATAATTTCTTGCTCTCTCTTACCAGATCAGTGAATCCGGCGAACATAAAAATTCCTAATGCTATTTTATATTCTTCTTTAAGTATAAACGAGCCAATGATTGGTCCCGCAATTAAACGAGATAAAGTCAAAAGATTAGGAAGAGTATAGATATTTTCCTTTATGGGAAATTTTTTTATCTATAGAAAAATAATTCGCGGAGTTAAAATCGACAATAAACTATAAGATAGCTCTCAAGAATTAATTTTCATTTACCTTGTGCAATAATTTTATTGCTTCCTTTGATTTATTGGATTTTGTTGTTTGTTCTTGATTCCTTCTAGCAGAGGTACAGAAAAATATCCTAGATATTTAAAAGAACGGATAAACCTACAAAGACATTTAAAGATTTTAAAAAGAACTGTATATAGTATTTCAAAAAAAAACACGCGTTTTACCGTGAACTCTGGTCTTTAAAGTTCAAACACAACAAGTTTTGAGATCGCATGTGGCGTTTTTTCGAAAATAATAGGCAAAATTTGGAATGCTTTAGATTGACTTTACATGGTGTATAAAGGAAACTTTGAAACGTACGCACTAGTAAAAGAGCCATTTTTAACAAAAACGTAGCATAATAGAATTTTTTATCTTTTCGATCAAAATCATTAAACGTTAGGTGTACCTTAAAAGTGATTGTCTAATTATCAAATTGTTGGGTTCATTGTTTTATTGTTTAACATTAAATATGTCCTCTACCGAATTACCAACAAAAAATTTCCGTGTATTCAAAGGTCATATCGGGCCTGTGCATGTTGTGCGCTATGATTCTTCAGGGGAATATGTTCTTACCGGAGGTCAAGATCGTACTTTGAAGTTATGGAACCCTGAGACTGGTCTCGCGATAAAAACTTACGAGGGTCACGGAAAAGAAGTTTTGGGTGTCTCCATGTACGTTATATAGATTAGCAAAATTGATGCTTTATCAGAAATCTTGATTTCTTCACCTATTTTTAATTTAGAACTCAAGATCATTCAAAATTTGTTTCTTGTGGTGGTGACCGACAAGTATTTCTGTTTGATGTGACAACAGCAAAAACAATAAGGCGTTTTGAAGGACATCAACATGTATGATAAAATAGTTATTATTAGCGTGTCGCTTCATTCTCCTAAATTTTTTTATATATTGAAGACTATTTTTTAAATTAATAATTGAAAGCGAGTCAACACTGTAGATTTTAACCGAGATGGAACGGTGGTTTTAAGTGGTGAGTAAATGCTCGAATTTATTTCTATCATAAAAACGTGGATGTCCTTTTTTTAATAACGATAAAGGCTCTTATGATTCAACCGTTCGTATATGGGATTGCAGGTAATTTACTATTTATCTTTTCCATACACTTATTCAAAATAATTTATCTAAAACCCATTTAATTTAATTTTTATATTAGGGGAAATTCACGGTATCCAATACAAATACTGGAAGAAGCAAAAGACAGTGTTGCTTCTTTGCAAGTATCAGATTATGAGATTGTTACAGGGTTAGTCAGTTATTAAGTTGGCTAGTTAGATTAGTTGAACTTCTTTAACACTCTTTCATTTGTATATTATATAGATCTGTTGATGGCAATATACGAATATACGATCTTCGAGTGGGTGCACTTTTGACGGATCTAATTTCACGTAGATGCTTAAAAAAATCATTTGATATGATTTCAAACTAAATCATAATATTAATAATAGTAATTAATAACCAAAATGATCACCTTGGAAAAATAGAGCCAGTTACCTCGGTTTGTTTTTCCGGAGACGGTAATTGCGTTCTTGCTAGTTCTTTGGATGATACTATTCGATTGATGGATAAAGATAATGGCGGCTTGTTGAATAGGTAAAAAATATTTGCTTTTCTCTATATATAATATTGATATACGATGCAAGTTAATTTAATTTTTTTTTCCTAATAGTTTCAAAGGACATAAAAACACACAGTACAAAATACAATCGTGTTTATCGAATTATGACATGCATGTGATTAGTGGTTCGGAAGATGGAAATATTTGTATATGGGACTTATTGGAGGTATTTATTTTACGTTTACATTTACATTTTTATTGTGTGTTCGAACTAGTTTAAAAATGATTTCTTTATAGGGTAAATTATTATCAACAATACATCAAGCACATGAAAATGTAGTCACTTGTGTCGCTTATAATCCGAAGCAGCCAATTATGATTTCTACGAGTGTAGATGGGACCGCAAAGGTTTGGAAAACACCATCACAAGTCTAATCTATTATGTATGGAACAAATTGTTTATATAGCAATAAAATATTCTGAAACTGTAATAGTCATCAATAAGTGCTGGGGATATACATTTTTTCCTTTTCTCTGTTATCAGATCTCAAATCTGTCAATTGTGAGGTTGGAAGGTCACATGATTGTCCATAGTTACAGAATTTACCATTTTGATTGGTCATAATAAAAATGACAACCAAACAACCACAGCGTCACCAAGTTAACAAGAAAGATTAGAGATAAACTCGTGTGTAAAAAAAAGTCGCGCGCTCGAAAATTTATTCATAATCAAAAATCAAATAGTCAAATTGCACTTTACATTTCAGAATAACAACTATGGCAGCAGCAGCAGCACAACTGTCAAATCAAACGTCATCGTCAACTCAGCTTCGTCATGCACCACCTAAAATCGACATGGCTTTTTACGAGCGTTCGTCCACGTTCGCGTTGTTTGAGCCGCTTAAACAAAATTTGATTAATGAACTTTCAACGAAATATCCTGAAGTTGCTGCTGTGACATCAAGAGAACTTTCCATATTTATAGGGAGTTTTCTGGAGTTTCAACAAATATCTTTGGGAATTGGATCCTCAATTAACAACAATAATACTACTACTACTACCACTACAGCAACAATTTCAACTTCAGCAACAACATGCGTAAAACTTCCTTTAAAGTTATTCAAATTGGATCCTCCTCCGACTACAAATTCGCCAGTCTATCATATAATTGTTGCGGCGTATAATTTTCGAGGTGCAAAAAAATTGAGAAATTGGGATTGGACACGAATTGAAACTATGATTGAAATGGTACGCTCGGTGCGAATTGAGTTAATAGAAAAAGGAATAATCAAGAATCCGGTAATTTTGTTTGGTGATAGCGTTGACAGAGATTCTCTTCAAGAATTAAGACGGGTGGGAAGGTCGTTGGGAGGTAAATAATTTTTGGTTACACAATGAGGATATGATTTACACTTTACTTCTTTTTTTAGAAATTTTTCATTTTAGCGATCAATTCTAAATTAAAAAATAAATATTTTTCTTTCTTTGAATCACAAATACAATTAAACAGCTGATTTTACCGATTCTGAAAAAGAAGCAACTCATATTGTACATCTAACAAATGATCCTGATGATACTGATGAAGAATGGTTTAGAACGCTAGAAAAAAAGAATGGAAAAGTATTGCTGCATTGGTGGTATTATCCCGATTCTTATGACACATGGATGGTGGAAACAGCTGAACATGCGGATCCTGAACCAGCACCAGAACATAATGGCCCGTGGAATGTAGGAGCTCGTTGGCTCAGAGATAGTAAAAAATTTAATGAATGGATGAACGAAGAAGACTATGAAATCACTGAGGATAGGAGACTTTCCGCGGGGGAAGATCAATCATATATATCCGATTCCGAATCTTCGCCACTCCATAAACGTACTTATGATTATTCAGATTCAACATCTTTCATGGATGTCGATTCACATGGTGCTTTTACAAAACGACTACGAATGAAGTCACCAGATCCTGATACATTCACAAAACATCCCCGAGTATCTGTTATTGATGTTGAGGGAAGCGGATCGAATTCTTCTTTTCGTCAAAAGAAAAGCGAATATGAGCCATTACAGACTACAGATATCACAAATATATCCCAAGCTATACCAAATTTACCTAAAGTGGCTGAAGAACAACCACTGTCAATTAGCTCCAAGGTGGAGATATTGGGCGTCTCTGCAGAAATTGAAAGTCAAAAAAACGAAACTAAAGATGCTCATAAATCTCCGGTCAACAGTAAGATATTAATGTATATCTTTTATTGCGATCTTTTAATTATTTGGTTTATTGATGTTTATCTTCATTATGGTTCGTATTAAACAAGAAATTGCTGACGTTGAAATGTCCGAACAAGAGCAAAACGATACAGTGGCCGATGAAACAGGAGTCGATTCTCCCGTTATCATGAAAGAAGAGGAGGAAGCTGAAAATCTTGATAGTCCAGCTGATAGTAAGATAATTGATGAGAGTATCCCCGAAAATATGTCAGCAGGTGAAACACCAAGTGGTGGAATGGATCCTGAAACACTTGCCGTTCGTGCAGAAGAAGAAAAGAAACGTGTTGAGGAAGAGGCACGAAAATATTTATCTACACAAACTCAAGAAGTTATCATTCCATCATATGCTGCGTGGTTTGATATGGCGAAAATTCATGAAATTGAAAGAAAGTCTTTGCCAGAGTTTTTCAACAATAAGAATAAATCCAAAACTCCAAGTATCTATAAAGATTATCGCGATTTTATAATTAACACGTATCGGCTTAATCCCTCTGAATATTTGACGGTCACGGCTTGTAGAAGAAATTTGGCCGGGGATGTTTGTGCTATAATTCGAGTCCATGCATTCCTCGAGCAATGGGGTCTGATAAATTATCAGGTATATAAAAATATAAATAGCATTATTTGTTAAGATTAAAATTAAATTTCAATGAATTTGATTTTCAAGGTTGATCCAGAAACTCGACCATCTACTGTTGGGCCAACCTTCACAGGACACTACAGAATCACTGCTGATACCCCAAGAGGTCTTCAACCTTTTCAACCTAGTGCTATTCCTCCTACTCCGGTGAATCCACAGATAGTCGAAGCATCAACCTCTAAACCAACCTCTGCTATTACTGCTCTTGCTTCCTCAGGGTCCGCCAAAGTAGAATTAAACCTTGGTCTTCGGAAAAATATATATCAATCTAATATCAAATCTGAAGAGACAGAAGTTCAAGAAAATGGAAAAGCACCTACTACTTCTGACCCTACATTGACAGATACAAAGAGGCGGTATAATTGCTTTACGTGTGGCGTTGAATGTACGCGTACAAGATATCATAATACTAAAACAAAGACTTTAGAACTATGTGCCAACTGTTACCTCGAAGGACGATTTCCTGTTTCGATGAACAGCGGTGATTTCATAAAGATGGATGATACCCCCTTCAATCATGCACAAAAAAGTGATTGGTCTGATCAAGAAACATTTAAACTTTTGGAAGCATTGGAAATGTTTGAGGATGATTGGAATCAGATAGCAGAATACGTTGGAACTCGTACCAGAGAACAATGCATTCTGCAATTCCTGCAACTTCCCATTGAAGATCCTTACTTGGGAACAACGATGCAAGATTTAGGTCCATTACAATATCATAGAATACCGTTTAGTCAAGCTGACAATCCTATTATGTCAGTTGTTGCTTTCTTGGCATCAGTTGTGAGTCCTGGTGTTGCTGCTGCTGCCGCAAATTCATCAATAAATGAATTCAAAGCATCGCGGAGTAAAGTACTTAACAAAGAAAAGAATGGCGTAAATGGTACTACTGCTACTACTGCCGCTGCTAATGCTGGAGAACAAACATCTGAAAATGATGCTAATGTTGAGATCAAGCAAGAAGAAACGATGGATACAGAATTAAAGTTATCATCATCTGCTCCAACTGAAGCCAATTCAACAGAAATTGAAAAAACGGAAGCTGATAATAATATTAATAACGATAATAATAATGATAATAACAATAATAATAATAATAATAATGAGAATGATAATAATAACGACAATAATAGTAGTAGTAATGTTATTGATGATGATAATAACAATAACAATATTGTTAATAATGTTAATGATAATAACAACAATACAAATAATCTTAGCACACTTGAAAAAGTTGCCGCAACTGCTTTAGGAACCGCCGCAGTCAAAGCCAAAGCTCTTGCAGAATATGAAGAACGAGAAATCCAGCGGCTTGTAAATACGGTAATCGAATCACAGCTCAAAAAAATGGAACTTAAACTTCAACAATTTGAAGAATTAGAAGAAATTTTAGAAGAAGAAAAGCGTGAACTTGAAATTCAGAGAAACCAGTTGTACGTTGAGAGATTGAATCTACGAAAGACAATTATCACTACTCAAGAGCAATTGAAAGCCGCCGCATCACAGGAAGCTGGGTCCTTTAAAGTGCCAATAAGTGGCCATAGTTATGCAAATGCTAGTAATACGAGAGTATTATCTGTTACGGGATACGGGGAAGAACAAGAACAACCACCACCAGTCTTCCCACCCAGTCAAGATGATGCTAATGAAGTAGTGATGATGTCATTTTGAATCTTGATTTATTTTAATTTTGATAGTAATATTTAATCATTCCATATACCTGTTTATATTATTCTTTCAGTTAATTGTTTTGGTTTTGATATATAGATATACAGAGAAAGGAAAAATTATGTATCGAGTTAAAGAGAGGTGGAAATAAGATGTCATCATATTCCAAACAAACTCATTGTACAAATAAATTCATGCATTTTTGAACTTAGAACAAGTCGGTTTGTTCAATTATATAGGAATGTGTCTATATAGAAAAAAATCAATCGTTGTGAATCTAGTCATTAGAATACAATATTACTTTTGGAAAAATCAGCTCAAAATTCTAAAAATAAATAGAAATACAATCTAAACATTCAAAACTACAAAACAAACGAGCAAGTTGAATTAATGATAAAACAATTAATAATGATCACGCTCCAACTTAAAAAAAAATAAATTAACACACACCCGTATTTGATAACTCCCTGCCTTAGTCATATATCTAACCCATTTTACACTCTGATAATTACTTTTTTCAAACACTTTCAAGAACCGAACGAGCAGTCCCGACGAGGTGAACATCAATACTTGGAATTCCATCGAGATCGGCGGTCGAGACCACGCTTTTTTTACGGTCATGGATGAGAGTTCAGCTTCGCCTTGTAATGTGAATTCTCCTTGACCTTGAAATCGTGGTATTCTTGTTTTGTTAATTATCACAAAGAAAATAAACCACCGAAAATTTTTTGTGAATAGTAAGCATAATCGATAGCAATACTACTACTACTACTACTACTACTACTACTACTATTACTACTATTACAACACTACTCTTTACTTACTTCCAAATAACCAGATTCTCATCAGGCACATATTTTGCCTTACCAGTCGCAACGCGAAGATTAATATTTGCCGTATTCAAAGGAGTTGGAATTCGAACAATAACATTATTCGCGTACAACTTTGGTGAGAATTGTGCTTTTACTGTGATCCGGTATTCAACTCGCGATTTCCCAACTTCGTTGACGACAGGGTGAACCCGGAATGGGAGGTTCACATTTTCGGTGGTACGATATCGCATTAATTCAAATTCCCCATCAGGTGGGATAAAGCTTATTATTCTATCTGATCCAAATTTTCCTAGTTTTACGCATTGGTGAAATTGGCAGTCGTCTATTTCTACAGCGTTTGGTTTCCTAAGTGTACTTTTTTAATTTTATGTGTCAAATCATTATTTTTTTTCTTATGAGGTTGACAATAAGAATTTCTCTATTGTCACACTTACGTAGTTAACTTCTGGATGCCATCCTTTTCTAACAACAATTTATCATTAAGACCAAACTTACATTCCGGTGTTCCAGACAAGTATGCCCGCATCATAATTTGGCCAGCAACATCAGAACGTAATACGGTTCCTATTGTTAATTTAACGAAATGAAAATTAATACACTTTATATAATTCGAATATAAATTCAATGAATAAAAAACCTTTTGTGCTCATCAACAAATTAACAGACTCGATAACATCTATAAATGCTTCGTTCTTCCGATACTTTATGCCAGTTCTACGCCAACTAGTTGCACTTGTTGTTTGAGCTGTGATTTGTGAGGAAGCCTCCGCCTATTTTAATAATTAATATATGTATTCCTCTAATTTAATTTAATTTGATTATTAATTATTCAATTATTTTCTTACTAAAGCGCGTTCCGTTTTGACGCCTTCTGTGGTTATGTACATTTTTAGAGTTTCTGCCTCACTATTTTGTGGGTATCCAAAATCCAACACCTCTAAAAGAATCATTTAAACAAAATTCAATAAATGATCAAAAAAAATTTACCAATCATAAGTAAAGATACGTACCATCCAACAACTCATAAATGAGCACAAAATTATTCTTTACCGACTCCTCATCAAATTTTCCAAAATAACTTTTTCCAATATTCACAAGCCGATAGCAAAACTCAAAGACTAACGCTGCATTGGCATTACATTTTGTCACAGCGACCACAAACAAGTTCTCGTGTCGAACATGAAAAAATGAGGTGGAGCCAAGTGTTATTATTGGTGAGCGAACATCTGTGTTTGAAATTACTTGTATTCGAAAAATGTCAGCTACTGAACGTCTATTGTTTCAAAGTAAAAAAATTTTGGCATAAGAGAAAACGATATAGAAGATTGATAAGTCTACATGAATAGAAATGAATAACAAACTTTAAGTCATGTCGATACAGTCGAGAAATTAAGACCTCTCCCTTTTGATTGTAAATAAAGAATGCGCTAATCATAACGTATAAAATTTTGAAAGTAGAACAACACCTGAAATTAATTTGTGCACTTTTGATCAAATTCTGTAACGTGAAAAATTAAATTAATTGTCTTTTAGATTTTTATGGTGGGAAAAAAAGGAAAGATAAATCGAAAAAATCGAAACATAATTGGTGTTACTAACTAAAATTAAGTTTAATTTTTTTACAGGGGAGGGTACACAGAACACATGAGCTGCGGTTGTAACAACGTATTTAGACACTATAATTTTTTTAGCATATTTTACACATCCTTTCCCCTTTATTCTTTATAAAAGATGGCCTCACATTCTTTAGAGATATATGTAAAGGGAACAAAAGTTTGGTTTCCGGATGATAAAGAGGGATGGATAAGTGGAGAGCTCACAACCAAAGAAGTGACTGGTGATGAAGTAAAAATCACTTTCAAAACGGAGCAAAACAAGGTAGTCATTTGTAATTAGATGGAGCACTTATACTTTTCACTTTATTTATACTCGGTTTCCTCTATTACTTGTTACTTTGAGTAAAGGGTTTATGGTTTCTTTTCTTAAATCTTCATCAAGTTTATTAGTGGGTAGTCCACCAATATTCTTCTCTCGAAAAAATCACGTATAATTTCTTGATAAACATTAAATTTACCTTCTTTGTATTTTAGGAAGTTGTAATCGCCACTACCTTAACAAAATTAAAAGCCTCGAATAATGCTGAGCTACCACCTCTTCGTAATCCTCCAATGTTGGAGGCCGTGGATGACTTGACCAGTCTTAGTTATTTAAATGAGCCAGCAGGTAGCTCATTTTTATAATTATATGTATGCTTGCAAATAAATCACATTAAAATATTTACTGATTGTAACCTTTGATAAATCACAGTGCTTCATACGATCAAAACTCGTTATCTCCAGCGTAACATTTATACTTATTCCGGAATTGTCTTAATCGCAACAAATCCTTTCCAAGCTGTCACATTATACTCACAAGATGTCGTTCAAGCATATTCTGGGAAGCGACCTGGCGAATTGGAACCACATTTATTCGCTATTGCTGAGACTGCTTACCGTCGTATGCTCAGCGATGAGAAAAATCAAACAATTGTTGTATCAGGCGAAAGGTTTTATCCATTGATATGTTGCCTAACTTTGTCTATATGGATATGTGCAAAATTTATTATTTACTTATTTCTTCGTTAATTTATTTAATATCTATAGTGGTGCAGGTAAAACTCAAAGTGCGAAATATATTATGCGTTATTTTGCTTCTGTCGATGACAAGGAAAGACCAAATCGTAAGAAAGTCACCAATGCGTCTGGCATGAGTGAGGTGGAAGAGCAAATTTTAGGTAAATAATCTTTATTTTTCTATTTATTTAATGAAGCAAGAAAAAATTTATCGTTTCAACTCTTTTGATTTCTAGCGACAAATCCTATTATGGAATCTTTTGGTAATGCTAAAACCACACGAAATGACAATAGTTCTCGTTTTGGAAAATATCTTGAGGTATCTGTGTTATATTTATACGCATCATTCATGTATTTAGTGAAAGAATTAATTAGTTAAGAGATAAATAACAAGTGTACAAATTCATTCGTAGATTCAATTTGACAAAGACACAAATATTATTGGTGCGAAAATTCGAACTTATTTATTGGAACGGTCAAGATTAATATATCAACCAGAATCGGAAAGAAACTATCATATATTTTATCAGGTACAATTAATTTTATAATATAATTTTTAATGCTTAAAATCAAAATGACGCTAAATTATGTAATACCCTTATAGCTTTGTGCGGGCGCGCCAAATTCAGAGAGAAAGAATCTCGAACTTGGAGATTATAAACAATTTCATTATTTAAAACAAGGAGGAGTGGGAACAATTCCCGGGGTCGATGATGCTCAAGAATTTGAAATCACTCAAAAGGCATTATCCATAATCGGAATTACTATTGAAATGCAATGGCAAATCTTCAAATTATTAGCCGCTCTTTTACATCTGGGAAATATCCAAATTAATGCACAACGTGATAAAGCCGTTCTCCCAGATAATGATCCAGCACTTGTAACAGCTACAAAATTATTGGGCATTAAGAAAGCAGAATTTAGTAAATGGATTGTCAAAAAACAGATTGTTACTCGAACTGAAAAAATTGTTACTGATCTAAGTTCGCAACAAGCAACCGTCGTTAGAGATTCTGTTGCTAAATATATTTATGCCAATCTATTTGATTGGTTGGTTAATATGACAAACGAGTGTTTATCTGGTGAAGAAGTCACTAAAAATGTCACATCTTTTATTGGTGTTCTTGATATTTACGGTTTCGAACATTTTAAGAAAAATTCATTTGAACAATTTTGTATTAATTATGCAAATGAAAAGTTACAACAACAAGTATGAATGTGTGATCTCTTTCTATTATGCATGCTAATTCCTCTATCATTTTACTGACTTTTTTCGCATCTCTCGATTCATTTTATATAAATTTGATAACCAAAGTTTAATCAACATGTATTCAAATTGGAACAAGAGGTAACAAATTCTTTAATTGTAGAATTATGATTATGATTATAATTATCGTCTAAAATATTTTTTTGTTATTCAGGAATATGTTCGCGAAAAAATTAATTGGACATTTATAGAATTTAGTGATAACCAACCATGTATTGACATGATTGAAGGGAAAATGGGTATTCTTTCATTACTAGATGAGGTAAATCATATATATTTTTTGCATGAAGAAATAATCATAATCAGATTATCTAATCGAAACAAAAAACAATATACTTAAAACTTTTGTATTGCTATTTTTATAGGAAAGTAGATTACCAGCTGGAACTGATATTAGTTGGGGAAACAAATTATATCAAACTTTTCAAACACCCACATATAAAGATTATTTTCAGAAACCACGTTTTTCTAATACCGCATTTACAGTCAGTCATTATGCGCATGCTGTGACATATGAGGTTGAAGGATTTTTAGAAAAGAATAGAGATACTGTGCCTGATGAACACTTGGCTCTTTTAAAAAGTACTGAATTCGAATTTCTCGAAGATGTGCTTACAAAAGCAGCAATTCCTGCTTCACCAACCACAAAGGTAGTATTTTTATTGTACATAAGATTTATATTTGATTCGGTTGATTTAAATGATTTCTTAAATATTTAAATTATTAGACTGATAAAAGAATATCAGTTATCGGAAAGAAACCAACACTTGGATCTATTTTCAAGGTAGGACAGAATTTAGTCTAAATCAAATTGTTTATAATCTTTATCATTTATAATCATCTATATCTTCATATTAGGGATCTTTAATTAATCTTATGGAAACTATTAATTCTACTAATGTTCACTATATTCGATGTATTAAACCAAATGAAGCTAAAGTCGCATGGAAATTTGAACCTCCAATGGTTCTTTCACAATTACGTGCTTGTGGTGTATTGGAGACTATTCGTATCAGTTGTGCTGGTTATCCCACCAGATGGACATTTGACGAATTTGTTAAAAGGTTCTTTTTTATCTCTTATTTATTCGATGTTCTTTGATTATACATAATTCTACAAAATTTAATTGTGATTTTTACAGATTCTATATGTTGGTTCGATCTCAGCATTGGTGTCCAGAACCACGAAAGTTATGTTCTGTTATCCTCGATGCTTCAATTAAAGATCAAGATAAATATCAAGTTGGCGAGACGAAGATTTTCTTCCGTGCTGGAATGGTACATATTACTTATCATTAATACAATAAATTTATTATTAGAAGTTAATTAATACTTAATTATATTTATAGCTTGCGTTTTTAGAAAAACTTCGTTCTGATAGATTGAATGAATGTGTCACTTTAATGCAAAAGAACATGTTAAGACATATGCATCAAAAGAGATATCAGGCAATGAAAGTGTCTGCTGTTAAAATACAATCCCTTTATCGTAGGAGATTGGCCATGCAAAAACTCAAAAAATTACGAGAAGAAAAAGCTGCTATCACAATTCAAAAATTCTGGCGAGGATACGTTCAACGCAAACGATACTTGCGAACTAAACGCGCAATCTTTAGACTACAAATTGGTAAGATTGCTATGAATAACAATAATATTATTATTAGTAGTATTGCCAATATTAAAAATTTTAACTTTTGTAACATATAATAGCTATTCGTGGTGTCTTGTCTCGTATCAAGTATGAAATGCTTCGTCGTAATGCTGCAGCCATTAAAATTCAAAAAGTTTATCGTGGAAGGTAAATGAAGTCATTTTAATCAACAATCATTATATCTTCTGCTTTAATTTCTACTGTTTTGACTTAATTTCTCTCCTTCCATAAAAAGCTCTGCCCGACGTGAATATAAGAAGACACTTAAGAACATTATCTTTATTCAATCTTGTTTACGTCGACGCTTAGCACGAAAAGAACTCAAGAAATTGAAGATAGAAGCAAGTTCTGCTGCTCATTACAAAGAAGTGTCATATGCTCTTGAAAACAAAGTTATTAAACTTCAGCAAAATTTAGATCAGAAATCTCAGGAATATAAAACGCTTGAAATCAAAAATGCAAATCTTGAAAACCAAGTTCGTCTTTGGACAGAAAAATATGAAAGACTTGAAGCAGATGCAAATTCCCTTAAACTTCAAACAAAAGAGGTGAAAGAAGCCACTGTTTCGCTTAACGAATTTAAATCACTTCAAACAGAAAAAGAAACGCTTGAAACTCGATATAGAAATTCTTTAGATAAAATTAAGAGCCAAGATACTGAAATAAATCGTCTAACAGCTGAACTCAGTAAGAAGGATGATGAAGTCACTAAACTTCGAGCGACTACAGCCAAATATAAAGGAACAGAAGATCCAGCTACTGTTCTCGCACTAAAGGTTGAAATAGCCAGCCTTAAAGAACAATTAACAAAAGTTAAGAGCAGTATTCGAGGAACATCACCTCCTCCTCCAAGTCAACGTCAAGAACGCCAAGAAAATGGCTTCAAAACTGCTGCAAGTTCTGCCAACTCTCTTAAGCCGCCATCGCAAAAACGAAGAGCTCGTAGACACAGTTCTGCTGAATCTTGGGGTCCACAAGAACTTGCAAAACGTAAACCTAAAACTTCTATGGATCTAATGATGGCCGAAGCCAAGAACAAGCAAGAATTCCGACCTGTTTCTATATCATATGCATCTCATGTGCCAAAAATCATACGTCCAGCAGGGGGACGCATATTGCCTGATGTTGAAGACGATCCTGAGTACGAGGTAAATTATCGAATATCATTACATATATTATTTTAATTTATGTATTTCTGTACTTATGTATAAATGATCTATACTCAGATCATGAAAATCTTGGAAGATGAAGAAACGCTTACTGAAGAAGTAATTAATGGATTGATAAAGACTTTGAAAGTTCCTCTTCCAAGCTTGCAAAACCCTCCATCACAAAAAGAAATACTTTTTCCCGCTCGTCTTATTAGTCTTTTAGCCCAACAAATGTGGAAGTATGGATTTATAAAAGACTCCGAAAAATTATTTGCCAATGTGATGAAAACAATCCAAAATCATGTGATGGTAAAGTTAAACTAATTAATTAGTAATTAGTTAATACAAATAAATTAATCTGATCTGTTGGTATTTTGCAATATAGGATTTCCAAGGAGAGGATGCAATATTGCCTGGTGCTTATTGGCTATCTAATGTCCATGAGCTATTGTCATTTGCAACTGCCGCTGAGCGTGATATGTTGCAGGGAATTAATCCAGCAGCTGAATCGTCTGGGCGAATCTTTGAATGGCATGATTATGAAAGACTTGTTTCAATAGTTAAACATGATTTGGAAAGTTTAGAATATAATATTTATCATACATGGATGAAAGAACTTAAAAAACGTTTATTTAAAATGGTTATTCCTGCTGTTATTGAAAGTCAATCATTACCTGGATTTATCACAAGTGAAAATCGATTTATCACTAAATTTATAACGGGACCAAGTTCTCCAGCATTTAGCATGGACGATTTACTCAATTTCTTGAATAAAGTGTGGAAGGCTATGAAGTCATATTACGTAGAGATGTCGGTGATTCAACAAGTTGTCACTGAGTTATTAAAACTTGTTGGAGTTACGTCTTTCAATGACTTATTAATGAGGTAAACTTTATTCTCTCTGTTTAAATTATTTCTCGGCATATTTTTTTAACTTTATTTTATGCATGATCGACAAATACAATAGACGTAATTTCTGTTCATGGAAAAGAGGTAAGCTGAATTACTATATTCAATTCAATAATAATATCAAAAGGATTTAATGATTAATTAAACTTGATTATTAGCTATGCAAATTCAATATAATATTACTCGGATTGAAGAATGGTGTAAAAGTCATGACATGCCGGAAGGAACTCTTCAACTTGAGCATCTGATGCAAGCTACCAAACTTTTACAACTTAAAAAGGTAATTCTTGTTGCAAATTAGTCCAATCTCAGTTCAATGATGGTGTTTGATTTCACATTTTTTATTAACCGTATCTAATGATCTATTAAATAGGCCACATTAGGTGATATAGAAATTATTTATGACGTCTGTTGGGTACTAACGCCAACACAAATTCAAAAACTTATTAGTCATTACTTTGTTGCCGATTACGAGGTAACTTTGTTAGTCATTAACGTTATTAAGATCGAATAACTTTCTGTTTAGCTTAACTTTTCGTTTTTATATTTCAGAATCCAATCAGTCCCGAAATTCTTAAAGCTGTTGCCAGTCGTGTAGTGGCAAATGATAAAAATGATATTTTATTATTGGATACAACTCCATTAGAAGATTCTGGGCCATTTGAGGTTCCTAACCCTCGAGATGTCCAGCCTGCTGAAAATTATTTACCTGCATGGTAAGCTTTGATTTTTCTTATATTGTATTTCTAGGCCATTTCTCGATTTAACGATGAACGATGAATTATGTAAATTATTTTTTTTAGGTTAAATTTGCCTCATGTTAAGCGTCTTGGAAGTTTGGCAGTTTAACTATTTATAATAATGGAAGGTAGAAAATGGGTAAACGTGTAAATTATTTTATAAAAATTTTATGGGTTTATGCATATACGTATTTGTGGATTTGTATAATAATTTTGGGATTTCAAATTTTAAATATTATTCATTAATCAATTTGCAATTGAAAATTAGATTTGCATCTCTATTCACGATATCAATCAAGCCAAAATGACCGTTGATTGATTTTAAAGCTTAGTACGTTTAGTTATAAGCTTGATGGATATTTTTCAAATCAATTCAATTCAATCCTTTGAATCCTTGATTTATTCCTTTCAATTTTATTTTAGAGTTATAAATAATTTATCGATAAAATATAAATAGAACTTCGAATTCATATTTAACTATTTAAATAGTCAAACTTAATTTATATAATGATAATAAGATCACGTTTTGGACATGTTACAAAGTGTCGATCATAAGTTATTTTTTGTGTCGCATAAACCCCAATAACTCCAAAAATCATGCGTAATGTTATGATACAATGCTGATCACCTGTGTCTTTAATAGGGTGATAAACTTCGACATTTTTTCAATTTTTTCAAAAATTTTGTTAGAAAACATTTTAGTATCTCTGATATCAAGAAATATGTAAAATCTGACTCCGAACATTTTTATTTAGTGACTTTGAAGTGGTTGTCATAGTAAAATATTGAGTTATTTACGATTCTTTCAATTTTTTTCCCTTTTTTCTCGCTGTTTTAAATGTTTATGTTACACATGATCTTGCGATTCGATTGGTCCAATTTGAAATTTGATTGGCTCATCTCCTCGTGACTTACCTTTCTTTAAGGATCCCCTATATCGGGCATTAGATGTTCATCAAAAATCTACATCGCATATATAATCAGTCACTTTATAATACACATCTTGATCACCAGACTTCGAGATATTACATTCTAAAGTGATCTATTAATTTTTTTTAATAATGAATTGTTCATTTTATGATGCAATATCAGCATTTATCAATCTGATATTAATAAAAATATTACTATTTGATTTACTTATTCGAATTGTAATATTTTCACTTGAATCTAAAATATTATATTCTAAAGTGGCTAATTCATTTTTTAATAATCAATTTTCAAAAATGAATCATCATTTCAGAAAGTATATTCAGTAGCCATTTGATTGTTTTGATGAATGGCTATATATTTACTTACTAAATATGATATTATAAAGTAACAATTCATTATATATGAAATAGATATTTAATAAATACTTTATATCTAATATGGAAGTTTATCATTCTATTAAAGATATAGATGATCAATATTTGTATTATTTTTTATGCTCATAATATTATATATAATTTTTGAAAAGTTATTGAAATATAATTATTTATATTCTTTATTATATATAATATAATTAAAAATTTATTATTACAGTATCTGATTAATAAACTTTTTAAAATTTTAAGCTTGATCCTTTAGTACAATATTATAGGATTTATTATAAAGAATAACTTTTATTATAATAATTTTTATAAATTTATTAATAAAATTTTATTTTTAATTAATAATAACGAAATTTTTTTCTTCAAAAATTTTAAAAATCATAGTTACTAATAATTGAAAAACTCAAATTGAATGACTATAAAAAAATGACTATAAAAAGAAATATAGAATAATCTGACTGTATATAGTAAAATTTTGTCAAGAGACATTTTTTATCAGAGCAGCAAAAATAAAGTTTCATAAACAAATTTTAAAGAGATAAGCTATTTTTCAAAAATAAACTTCGAATATATGTTCCTCTGATATATTGCTGCGAACATTAAAAATTTTTGAGAATCTAAAACTACATTATTTTTCATTTTCAGATTTCCATCACGCCACTGTATATCAATATTTCAAACTCGAACCTTTGTTCTCATTCCGCTGAATCATATACTCTTGAAAAGACAAACCAATTTTGCATAAACCTGGCTGGCATTAACTTAATGCCAAAGGAATTGCACGGGAATTAGATTAGGTTACTAGTCTGGAGAAATTCTACATTTTAAAAAATTCGTATTTTTAAGGTTTTTTGTCTATATGTTAGGTGTCACATATGTTACACGACTTTACCTGACATTTACATTGATAATGTATCGAGTTAGTTGGCTTAATTCAAAACTCTGTATTATTTTAAAATCAAGATAAATATATAGCTCAAAATATTTATAAGTAGTTATTCTATGGTAATTAGAAATCAAAAATTAATAATAAATAATTAAGTTTTTAATTCTTTAAATTCATTAAAGCTATATAAAAATAATATCTAAATTTTGTAAACTTTTATAAATGTTGTAAGTGGGAACGGGATCAATGTGGGTATGGAATCGGCCCAAATTAGAATAGGAGTAGTGAAGAAGAATAGTGTTGGCCGAAAAACGCTAAATCTACACCAAGCGGATTCCGAATCCACCAATATTCCATTCCCACTTACAACATATATAAGGGACAAAGGGTGAAATATTATTATCTCATCAGATCAAAATTCAATTAATATACAAACAATAAATCAATAATACAAAAGAAAAAATGAAATAAACAATGATTTACAATCAAAAAAAATTACAAGATACCACTATCTCTCAATGCATTCTGTAAAATTGTTTCTTTAACAGCTGCAAAAACCAGCCTAAATAAGAAACAAAAATTAAAGATTAATATCAAGCATAACAAATAGAAAATGAAGCATAAACATAATAAAAATTAAAAGAGAAACCTTATCTAGATAATAAAAGTTATTAAAAATCAATTAGTGCGTCTCACTCTTTCAATTATTGATAAAAATTGGATAGAAAAAAATAAACAACTTACGTTTGATGTGTCAGTTGCCTGTGTTAAACTATTATATAATAAATGTAAATGTAAATCTTCGTGTTTTATTTAAAGATATAGATATTAATTGTGTAAATATAAATGTATCTAATTAACTTACTGTGGATAAATATTAAGTCGTGCCCGGTTAGTTTGAGTAAATCGCCATAAGATATATTTTGCAGCTTTATTAATATCAGCGCCTCCTATTATTTAAAAGTTCATCAAAATAATCTCATTTAAATTATCAAAACAGAGTCTACACAGATAATCAATGTCGTATTTACCTTGATATTCAGGAAAATATTTTTCAAGAGGTACTCTGGGTAATTTAGCTTTAAAAAGGTCAATCTTATTTAAAAATAGTATAATTGAAGTTCTCAAAAACCATCGACTGTTTATTACAGATTCAAATAAAACAAGACTCTCTGACATTCGATTCTAAAAATATTATTATGTATCAATTTGATTAATAATAAGACTTTTTGAAATATGATAAAATGAAAAAAAATGCGTAAACTATAAATGAATTAAATACTTGGCCAGATTCTTCTAATAATACTTGATCATATTCACTTAAAGCTACACAGAAAATAATCGATGTGACAGCTTCAAAACAATGAATCCATTTTTTTCTTTCCGATCGCTGTCCTCCAACGTCAAACATACTAAAAAAAAATTGTATTTTAATAAAAACCTTTTTTTTAAGATATAGTAAATTAACATACTGTATACTCAATTGTCCCATATTAAATCGTGTTTCTGATATGCCTGTTGTCTTAGTTCTTGCTCTTAGAACATCCGCCTCATTAGGAATATAAGCGGGTGCACCTATTCTCCTCACATTTTCAAAAAAGCTAACAATAATAAAAAAATAATTGATAAATTCTAAGATAGCGAAAACATTGTACATATATAACAGCCATCATTGCATACTAACTATGGTGCAGAATCCATTAAATAAAATTGACTTTGTCTATCCATAACTTCTCTCATTATATCATCTCGCCATACAGATTCAATTGCTTCAACGATCTCTGGGTTGAGTTGAAAAGTTGGATCTGATTCCACATAATAATCCAATATTTTTTCGGCAAAAAGCTACAATAGTTTGAAAAATGAGTAAATTAAAAAATAAAATTTTTCAAATAGGATGGAATTAATCAGAAAGATTCTTAAATTATTACCCCATTTACTGGATCTCGTGGATCCAATCGAAATTTTTTCAACGCATGTACAATTGCTTGAGCTGAATCTATAAGATTTTTGTAGACAGTTATTCTATAAAGCGCTAGTTCTTCTTTAGTATATCCATTTTGATGTATTATCTTCATTTGTTTAACTATAGTTGATTTTCCTGATTCTCCGGAACCTAAAATAAAAATGAACTTTTATTTTTTAGTGTAAAATTACAATATTACTATTATGATGAAAAAAATCGTATTATGCATTTCTCTACTTTTCTAAAAAGGTTTAATATTCATCTAGTAATAATACCTAGAAGAAGAATTTTACATTCTTTTTTTAATTTTCTACCATCCTCTTCGATTCGTTTATCGATTTGAAGACTTCTTAAACGTGATTCCTTTTCTTCTGCGGATAAACATAAACCCATAATATAAATCAAGCTAAGAATATCTTATTTGAATATATATTAATGATAATAAGTTATAACTATGAAATTGTATATTTCAGATCAGTGAATTATCTCTTTTATAAGAGAATGTTAAGTTTGTTGCGCAAAGTCGACCGATTTTGTTACTAAATTAATATTTCTTTGACACTGTGCTACCTTGGATGCTATGAATAATAAATGTGTGTACTTAAATTATTTATTAAAAAATGCACGTGAAAACTTTAAATATCACTTATTTGACATCGATATATGATAGATCATTTTCGATTTAAAAATTTCTATATTCGTGGGATTTACTCTTGTTATAACAACAGCTGGGTATCAGCGTATGAAGGCGATGTAACAGACTTTGCAAATTCGAATTGTGATTAAAGCAATTTTATAGGTTAAAAATGAAATATATAATTAACTTTACGTAATTCAACTCTCTATAGTCACAAATGCTTTATAATCACATTTCTCTATAGTCACCCAATTTTCAAGTAATCTTGTAATGAAATTTGAATATTTCCCAATTACTTTTATATTAAAAAAATTAATTTTAATTTATACATATATTAACAAGTTAATAATTTGATATAATTAATTAAATCAAGATTGATTTAATTTAATTATATAATACAGTTCCCAGGACGGTCGTTTATATTTAACAATGAAGCATTCAAAACTCACGAAAATTTGCAAACATATTCTTTAGAATATCTTGAACAATGATTTTCTAATAGCACAAGGCATTGTTAACTTAATAAAATTTCATGTCAAATGAGAGTTAATTTTGAATAAAAAATCATTTAAAATATTTTTAAATAATTTTTATTTAGTTAACATGCCTGTGCTATTAGATAATCTTGTTCATAAAAATAATGTATACTATCATTACTTTCATTATTATATTATAATAACAAAATTAATCTTAACCTATTTAACTCACATGATTTGAATACTTAATAGCTAATACTTAAGAAAACTTTTAAGCAGATGAAAAATAACTTTTCATAGCAAAATTATCATCATATAATTGATTTACAAAAAAAATTACTCATTTTCAAATTAAAGAAATATATTTATCAAATTTTCAAAGTTATTAATCAAATATCTCACAATATCAAACTATAAACATGACATATAAAAATAAAAATAACTTAATTTCTAGAAAGTATCTTTTATTTTCTCATAAATCAATATCATAATTATATAAACTTGAATATCATAAGTTAAATAATTATATAAATAATGTAAAAATATCTTACAAATCTAATCAAAAAAGAATAGATCATTCAAATTACTAAAGCAATATAATATAGAAAAAAATTAATAAAAATAATATAATTAAAAATATTTTAAATAGATAAATTAATAAGATTATCTTTAATTATATTATTAATAATAAAGAATATTATAATGATTCAGATAAAATTAAATATATAATTAAAGAAAAAGTAATTTAATAAACTTGTAAATAACAAATTAATACTAAGCTGACTTAATAATAAAATCAATATTAATTTCTTGATTATGTAGTAAATAATATCTTTTAAATAATAAAACTAATTAGTAAAGCAGAGCTATCTCATATTCTAAAATATTTAACTTATTATAAAATATCAGAATTTTCAAATATTACTAATAAATTTTAAAAGAATTCTAATAAATATACTAGAAAAGACCTATAAGTATTACTTAATAGTTATTTAAATCAAAAAAATATTTTATAAGAATGAAAAAGAATAATTATAATTCTTATTTCAAAATTAAAAAATTAGCAAAGTAATATTAAGATTACAAAATTAATTATACTTATTAAATTAAATTACAAAATTTTAATAAAATTTCTTACAGATAGAATATTATTAATATGTCAAAAATAAAATATTTTTAAAAATATTAATATATTAATTTTAATTCATATTTTAAATTATATTATTAAACATATTTGAAAATATAAAAAAGAAATATAATTTATATTTTAAAATATAGAAAAGAATAATTCCTGAAAAAAAATTCTCAAATATTATTCTAAAAATAAGTATGATTCTTAAATTATTAAAAATATATATTTTTATCAATAATTATAATATAAAGAGATTCTTAATAATATATTAATAAGAATATACTTTTTTATTAAAAGTTATTAAAGATTATTTCTAAAAATAGGCAATGATAGTATTCTTCAATATGATTAACTAAAATATAATCTAATTCCAAAGTATGATTCAAAGATAAATATGTTAATCAGTTTATTAATAATATAAAATAATAGATCTTAATTAAGATCTATTTTACAAGAGATATTTCTTAGAATTCTCTTTATTATAATCTACTAAAATATAAATTAAGAATTAAACTTATAGAACTCAAAAACTAAATTAAATAATAAACTAAAAGTTATGTAAACTTAACTATTTTTTTTCTATTAGTTAAGATATATTACTTTTATATAATACTTATACTACTTTTACTATAATCTAAATATTACTTTAGCTAGTATTAGAGATATTATTTTAATTAATTATAACTTATAATAATTAATTAGAGAATTATAATTAAGTTATAATATTATCTTTAGCTAATATTATGATATTAGTTTTGTTATAATAATATTATTAGTTTTGCTATAATAGTTTTACTAATTTTGCTATAATAATTTTATTATAATTATTATATTTATGAAACTATCTAAAAATATTTATAAATAATATTTTTAATAATTAATATTCAATAATATATAAGTAATTAATTATCTAATTATATTGTGATATAAAGTGACTAATAATAAATAACTAATTAATATTTTATTAAAAGTTTATATTATAATAGAATTCTCTTTATTAATATTTTACTTTATAAAATTTAAGATTAAATATCAAGTTTTTATAAGACTTAGTAATTCTTTAAAGTTATCATTAGTTATTTTTTCTAATTTTATTAATAATAACTTTCTTAAACTTAGAATTACTTATTTTAAAATATATTAAAATAATTTACTAATTTTACTAATAATTTTTTAATATTAGAATATTAAATTTCCAGTTATTACTAGAAAGAGTTTATTGTAAAGAAATAACTTCTCTTTTATCAAGTCTATAGCTAAAATAATATTTACTATTTCTTGATCTGTCTATAATATATTAAAGTTAATATTTTTATTAAATAAAGTTATAATAGTAATTTTTATAATAATATCTATTAAAGTAATTCTTATTCTTGACTTGCAAGTTAATAATATTTTTGAAAGAGTTTGAATAAATAATTTAAAATAAATTTTATTAATAAATTAAATAAAAGAAATATTTATAATAAATAATATTCTATAAATAAGTATAATATAAAATAAATATATTAAATTAAAATAAAATTAAAAAATTTTAAATTAATATATTTTTCAGATAAATTATATAAAAAAGAATTTTCTAGATTTTTAAATTTGTAATATAAACTAATTTTTATATCTAATTTCTATATTATAATATATAATTCTATAATTTAGGCTATATTACTACTGATCTAAAGATTAATATAATCTTATATTATATTAGATAATTACTTAACTATATAATTTCTATTAAATTAATTTGAATTTTGTATTTGTTTATCATTTTATAATTAATTTTATTTTTATAATTAGATTATATTTTTATATTATTTAATTCATTATTTATTATAATTAGAGATATTATTTTAATTAATTATAACTTATGATAATCAATTAGAAAATTATAATTAATTATAATAGTTAATCAGAAAATTATAATCAAGTTATAATATCATTTTTAATTATGATATAGTTTTCTCATAAATTTTCTTGAATTTAAGAAAATGAGAATATTATTTTATTATTAATATTTACTCTCTATTTTTTCTTGTCATAATTAAATAAGCTTATTTTATTATTGAATTAAAAAATATCATTTTTTTTGTTATTTTTTTGAAAAATAATATTTTTCTATTTTATTTATATTATTATTATTATTTTATAATATTTAATTATATAAATAATTATTATTTAAAATATTTGATATAAATATAAGATTTTTTTTTGAAATTTAAAGTCTTAAGAGTCTGATAATGCTAAAAAAAGCTGTGATATTACATCATTATTTTTTTATTATCTTTATTTCTACTAATTATTAATATTTACAAAATATTAGCTATATTCTATTCATGATTTTTAATAATTTTATTATTATCTTTTTCTATCTTTTGAACTAGAGATAAGTTATTATTATTTTTATTATATTCTTAATTATTTAACTAGTAATTAGCAAGTGTATAATTTTATATTCTAAATATTGATTAGTTTTAATATTTTTTAAAGTTAAGTTATAATTATTAGGATTAAAACTACATATTTTATTAAGTAATATTAAACTTTTCAAATATTACAAAAAATAAGAAAGAAACTTTTAATTCTTTAACTTAATATATTTCTAAAAGAATATAAAAAAATACAAATCTTCATCTTTATTTTAATAATACTTAAGATAAGTAATAAAATAAGAAATTTTTTATTCTTTTCTTATATTTAGAGATAGAATTTTTTCTTCCTCTTTTTAAAAATTAATTAATAAAGAATGAATAATCTTTTTTCATCTTTTTCTATAAGATTAATAATAAACTTTTCTTTTTTATTATTAATAAAGCATAATTTATAATCTTTATAATTTATTTTTTTTCTATTTTTATATTAATAATAATAATAATTTTGTAAATTATACTGATAATCTTGATATTATTATTCTAATTAATTTTTAATTAAAATAATTTTCTTAACTTCTAAGTATTAATAATATTGATAACTAATATAAAAAGAGTTATTCTAATATTTAGAGTTATAAATATGTGATATTCTAAAGAATTAAATTTTATTTGATTAGTTTTTTTATATCAGTAAAAATTATAACTCAATAATATCAAAATCTATTTTATTAAAACTAGAAGTATTTAATTTTCTATGATAATTTTAGATTTTAATTTATTAT